AGAGGATGGAACCAGCAAGTAGTTATGGCAGTCTTTAAACGGTTTTACAATAAGAAGCATTATTCCAGGTGACTGGTGTCGCTATGTATTATTGGCATAAAGTAACAGGATGTAGTTTTAATGGCCAAGGGCGGTTTACATTGGAATACACTTGTCTCAGGTTCTTTGGTCAATCTATGTTATCTTAATGCTTTAATTCGACAATATGTAGTCAGTGTCTCTAGGTAACACTGCAACGTAACATTACAAATGACATTTTTATTGTTGTATTCACTGCTATCATGCGGTAACATGAAGACTATACACGTGTAAAACATACAGATATATGGGCATCGCAATAGCTGAAGGCAAATACGTAATTCATTCAGGAAGATCTAATGCAACAACAGTAATTTAGATATGAAAACAACAGCAAATTCAATTGATTTGATTAATGGACAATATATCAAAGCACTTAACATTCAAAGAGTAAACTAAATTTCATTTAAATTTATACACAATTTAAATGCTTCTTAGTTTATATCATATATACAATTCAAAACAATTAAGATGCACTTATCAATAAAGCAAATTTCTAACACTTAAGCTTTGTTAGGGATATCTTTGAGTTTCATGATGGTATGAAAGAACAACATTTTGCAAACAGATTTGCGTATTGGAATGTCTTTAGATCAAGTAAGCAAATGAATGGTAATTAGAGTATCGACCAGAGCGCAAATACGTCTGAACGTTGATACGCCAGAACACCGGGGTTCCGAGCATTGAAGCAATAGTATCCCAGAAAACCGAGGCCATAACCTTTCCACCTGACGAAACAGACTTTGTCTACTTTGGCGGGAGAGAACCAGGTAACTTCCATTGTTAAGACTGTTGTTTGGCCTCTGGGGAGTAAATAATGGACCAACGTTTCATCCATAGTCACAAACCTCTGCAGAAAGTTAGCAGCATCTGTGTCTCAAAGGTTCAGATTAGCACGCGACAAAGTCCGCCTGTTGTGCTTCTGATCAGCTGTCAGAAGTCTTGGTAACCAATGGGCTGAGAATTTCTTCATTGCAAGATCTTCCGTAAGAATGCAATGTACTCTTTCCTGTAAAATCCCCACTGTACTTGCTACATATCTCTCTGTGACTCGTCTGTCATCCATTACAATGGACTTCATTGACCATTTCTTGGGTTGCAACAGTGATAGACCTTCCAGTACGGTCGTTATTCCCCACTCTCTGGCCGTCACTCTTAAATTCCGCAACCCACCTTTACACTGTAGCATATGAATGAGGCATCATTCCCTAGTGTTGCTACTATATCAGTAAGGATTTTCTTAGGTACTAGACCTTTCGTATGCAAATATTGAACACTGCTCTTTCAGCGATATTGTTCATTTTGCAAAAGTCACTTTCCTTGTTTAATTAAGAGTGTTACTACTTCGACATAAACTAACCAAATGACTGATCAATTAGCCTTCGTACATGTACAGTGAGGTATGACATATCTGCGCGGATGCTGTATTATAATTCTGACACTAACAAGCCTGTGCAAGAGAAAGATTTAAAATATACTCAAACAAGTAACAAGAAATTCCAATGATCATTTCTTAGATCAAATGACCATAGAACCGTAAGGAGAAAACAAAAGGACCGTCCATGAATTATTTTCGTTGTCACCTTGAACAGATATTGCTCGTTTTAAAGGGCCTTTAACCATTTAAATAGCGCCGTGTTGTTGAAATTGACCTTAGTAAGGCAGCTTTACGATTCATTTTTGTTCACCATAATAAGCAGACGATTATCTATTATCGCCTGCAACCAAACAAATTACATTTTAAATGCCACCGGCAAAAGAAGACAGAAGTTGCCAAAACAAGGTTTCTCGTAAAACGAAAAATATTTATAACAATCAATATATTATTTTTGAAATAAAACAAGTCATCTCGATAAGGGTTTTTATTTAAAAGGTAGTCCATTACTACAGATTTTATGGGATAAAAACCTGGCTATTATCATTTTTTATATTATTTTTATAATATGATGTATGATACAAACAAAACAGTATAAAGACGTTAATATGACTGCTCACCTGTCACCTCGTTGAATGTATGATACAAACAAAACAATATGAAGACTCTAATATGACTGCTCACCTGTCACCTTGTTGAAGGTATGCTACAATACATTTAGCAATCCAGCAAATCTTACTTTCGTTTTAGTACTTTCGTCTTCATACTTCCATTTTGATAATTCAATTAACATATCAGTAATCGACGCAATAACATTTCTTCATCTTCGCCTATGCATGTCTATCGGAAAGTAGGAGACACGAGTGGAGGGTCACACAACATATGGTGGTTTGAACTTGGTGATATAGGCTGTGTACTTATCAACGCTAGGCCCGTGAATGTCTGTCGCCAGTGACTGGTTATATTTTTTATATTTACACCACAATAAACACATAAAGCACATAAAGCACATCAAAAATAAAAAAATATACAAAGCGACTTACGTTTTCACCGGCGTAGAAGCAGTTTCATGTCTATCCTGCACTTCCCATTCCTTTATGCATGTCTATCGGAAAGTAGGAGACACGAGTGGAGGGTCACACAACATATGGTGGTTTGAACTTGGTGATATAGGCTGTGTACTTATCAACGCTAGGCCCGTGAATGTCTGTCGCCAGTGACTGGTTATATTTTTTATATTTACACCACAATAAACACATAAAGCACATAAAGCACATCAAAAATCATAAAATATACAAAGCGACTTACGTTTTCACCGGCGTAGAAGCAGTTTCATGTCTATCCTGCTCTGGGTAACGTACCTGTATAGTAGTTGAATTTAAACTTGAAAAATATAGAATTGCGCATGCGTTATTTAACATTACATCACTATAGTTCGGTTCTGCATATTAAGCCTAATATATCTTTAGTGCACACACTCCCGGATAATTTGTTTCTACCTATCCATGCAAATTCTGACCTACACCTTATCATGCAGTTGATGTGATTAAACGCGCGAATTTGGATAATGTTACACCTGAGCTTGTCAAAACATTTAGCCTGACGACAAATAGCCGGCATCTAGATATCATGTGCACTCTCTTGATATTTTGACCATGTCTATTATTTAGTCTTGTTTGTTGTCTTTGCCACTTATCCAACAATGTTGAAAGGTATATAATGCATTCCTTACAGCGATCTCAGACAAAACATTGGTAGTATTTGTTCATATTTGATCATATTCTATTATTTGAACGCTCGAATTAGATCTCTGCTTTCAATTAATGTCAAACTGTATTACCGGACAATATGACAGAGATCGGTGACGCCAATCCAGCTACAGCTAAAAACATGCTCGTTGTCGTCATATATAAAGCTTAAATTTACTTTTTTGTATTTTACGTCTTCAACAATGTTGCCTGAATGCGCTGTGGAGTTGCAAGTATCTAGGTACTTCTTAAAAAATACGCAAATGTTACATTGGAGAGATAATAAAAATAAAACAATCATCAGTTCTCACAAAGTCAATATGCACTTCCCATTCCTTTAGTGATGATTCTCTACATGTAAGTCTACATTTTGATCGCCATTTTTTATTTACAACACGTGAATTATCAATAGTTTACAGAATGACGTTTAATCTATTCTCGCATTTATACATTATACCCGATAATACCAAGTTTAGATCCAAAAGATCTACCAAATAAATTAATCCATATCAGTTAGAACCTGGAATGGTATACTGTAAATAGTATAACGTGGATTCAAGGGCTCTTACATTCTACTTGGTTGAGTATGACATAGTATTTTAGGGACTGGACCCTTGCAAACGTTTTACATGGTTTGTTTTGCAGGTATTAAAACGTTAGAGCATGACAAGTCTGCGACAGCCAAGATATCGGATGATATTAAAGAAGGTGATAGCCAAGATGGCGATCGGATTGTAAGCTGCCGGTTCACAATTATTTCAAAGTGTACTTTTCATGTTGAGAAGAACAAGCATTTTAACCCATATTTCCTAACAATAATATATTCTTTAATACTGAGAATACGATTCGGAAATCAGTTAATCAGTTCAGAGTACATGCCACCAGCTCGGATTTCGCAGTTTAGCACACCAACTCTGAGCTCAACCAACCGATTTTTGAGGCAAGCTCGCATGCTTGCAGACCAGCCAGTTGTCTGAGGGTTGAGTCACGTTCTTTCATAGTTTTAGACAAAAATTGTATATCTTTAGATAAAGATAACGCCATTTTTATTAGGACAATTGATAAAGTAGATGTACACGTGAATTTCTTTTGTGTCAAAGTGTAGATTCGCGGAGATAGACATTTTAACTGCTAAACAGATTTGTTATTTATCTACCGACTAAACTGTAGTTCGTGAAGATACGGATTGAAATTGTCTGTCTGACTGTTTTGGCATTGATGTGATTGTTTGTATTTCTGACGTGTAAGGAATTCAAATTCTCGAAAGAAAAAGATAAGGAACATAAAGTTCGATATTAGTGACAATTAGTACAAATATTGTACCAACATTCCAAAATATTACCTTTGAATTCATTTTTTATTGAATTATGTCCTACACACTTCTACCTTGCTTAATTTGACGTCAATCTTTGAATTCGAAAATCTCGGAAATACTACTTCTCATTGTTTACATACATCGTCATAGTAGTTGTATCTATAAGATAGTAGGCGTAGGAGTTCGAAGTGAACCCACCATTTCTTGTTAGTTTTTTTAACTTTTTAGATTACGAAATGATTTTAATAACTTGGAATGAAGAATGAATCGATGTCTTTAAAATCAAAACTGTTTCAAGCCATACATTTGAATTATCATTAAGATTCTTTTTATTTTCATTTATCTTTTTAATGTACATAAAACTTGGGTGTTAGTTTTCGATGGGTTCTCTTTTGGCCATTTAAACGATCAAACTCTGGTTCCATTGTTCTGATTCAAGGATGCAATGACAATTTAACAACAGTTTTATGCAGAAAAGGTTATTTATTGCACCAAACAAATAGGGAGGTGTCGGAGTTAAAGCACTTAAATCACTCTCCTGAACAACATGCATTCTCTTACATGAGAGGAAAATAGTTAAGAATGTGTAAGCATAGATTTAAGGATTTAAGGTAAGTAATAAAACTGTTTATGTAAGAAAAAACGATAAAGACAAAATTGATTGCGGAACATTGTCTGGATGAATATGCATTGAAGTATTTGATATAATACACAGCATACAGTTTAATAAGCAACAGGCTAATGATTTCAATATCAACAAAAATATTGTCATTATCATTGTAGAATTATATACAGAATCAGATATAAGTGTACAAGTCAAATATTTATTTTCCATTAAATATGAGTTAATTTATATTGAGGGGTTTTAAATATCACCTTGAGAGTTTAAATCTGCTAATTCTGTAACTTCTACCAATTCATTAAACATCTTTTCATAAAAAGATGTGCTTTTCTGAGAAAGAATTTTCTTCTACCATTGTGTAACACTATCGTCATTGTAATAATAACTTCAGATTCATTGAAAAAATCAGGTCGTAATAAAAGTAGTTCTGTGTCCCAATTGAAGTCTTCTACCTATAATGGTAGACATATTTCTTAGCCAGAATACCGTTTTTGCTTCTTTCTCGCATTTTTCCCTTCCCTTCAGTGGAATTCATTATATTCTATCAATGCCTGGTATTTTACCCTAAAACATTTTGGGTTTTGAACTTTTGAAAATAATTAAGTCATATGTTTCAAATTTATTTGCTTGGCAGTCTGAGGTAGGTTTATACGTTACATTACCTTGGTTTATCACCTTTACCTGTCTCGACTGTGGTAAAACTAATAGTTTAAAGCCCAAACAATACAGAATTTCATATAAACTAAATAAAATATGAACTCGCTTTATAACGGCACGAGTCGAGTATCTGCAAGTACTCTGATATACATGTACACTATAGTTCAAACATGTTTTCTCAAGTCCGTGAAACTTTCGTTTATTCTTCTTTTTTGATGTCAGGATCTCAAGCAGAGACTTCTATTTCTTCCTTCTTCTTTTTCACCACATACATTTGTAGAAATTCCATTGTTGCTTTTCTTCCTTGCTGCAATGAGACCATGATTAAGTGTACTGCTTACTGACATTTTCATTTCTTCTTTACCATTTCACATAAATATTCTAGCTTTCCTAATGGATATAGTGCCACGTAATCTGTGTTGTGTTACTTTTTATTAATTTACTATCTCACTGAGTTAATTGATACCTAAAGAAAACATATTAAGCAAACATTCACGAAATTCTTAGAGATATATTTGTGAGGGACAAAATCAACTGCGACACGTGAATACAAAAGTAAGTATATAGACATTAAAAACCCACCAAAATATTGTTTAATACATCTTAATCTAATGAACATATGCGATTCTGAAATAAACTCCATGAGACACGTGTATTTAGAATAATTTAGTGTATCTCTAAAGTTCATTTGTTATTAACATATGTTACCAATTATCATTTTTAGTCGAAATGTAACGCACCTCTAACATAAAGCCAACGTCTTCTTCTTCAAGGTCGAAGTCCGCGGTTTCAACATGTCCCGTATTTATTCCAACAGTCCGCTCAAGGTCATCATACTGTTATACAATAAAGACAATCATGTGGATCATCGTTGAGTTCTGAACATTGCTTTGACAAAACAAGATAATATTTGAAACGTAGTGTTAAAACAGATTGGTGCTTCGGAATAGTAAATTCAATTATTTTCTTTTCCGATTAAATGTCATATTCAAGTAGACTATACGCAGTAACAGTATTTGTTCAGAAAAAATGTGAACAAACAGCAATCAGTCAGAATTCAGCTAATTCAATACTGTACATCAAAACATATATTGTGAGTGTGGGTTAAGTTATCTGATATATATGAATAAAACAAAGATCCATTTTTGTTAATGAGTTTGTAGAATCAAGATGAAAAGTACCTCCATATATAACCGTTTGAGATTAAGGAGCATGGTATTAAATATGGTGGAGGCATATGACACGATGCTGGTGACATCCTGGCGTTGGTATCCTAGGTATCTTTGGTTTACAGCAAGACCTCTCTGTTCTATGTATTTCCCTACCTCCTGGAGGGTCACCTAATCAACGTAAAAGTATCACATGGAATGAATAAAAAAGGGAGAAAATCGACATGTAAACAAAGCCATAATCTAGCTGTCGTTGAATACAGATTGAGCAAAACAGAACTAAGGATGGTTAAAGAATACGTCATGTGGTTGTTCAGAGAGGATAAATATTTGCCTACAACCGAACTTTCAACAGTGGCACAAGAATCAATTTAAACAAACGTTTTATTGGCGGATCATTTATATGTTTATTCAAACATTTCCCAAGCTTCAGGGTTTATATTACACGTCTGTCCGGGTAATACATCCTCGCGCGGCCATTTATAAAAAAGATGTATTTCAACGGTTTCAGAGAACATTAAAGAAATATTCCAAATACATGAAATTTATTTGTTGGTTGCTGATTAAAAAGAAAACAAAAAGATAAAATAGATAAGCATTCTTGGTAGTTTCCAATGATGTAGAAGACCTAAAACTCACCTCACCATTACCGTTCCTGTCTAACCTTTTAAATATTTCCTCACATTCAGCTTCATCACCAAACAATGTCTTTCTGTCTTCCTCCGAAAAATGGTCCTGTTCACAAAATAAATACTATCGCATTAAGTCGTTAATAACTTTTTTTTTTGTTTTGCTTTGAATAAATTAAACTATATCATACAGCTGTTTCGTCCTTCTAGGATTCATCAGTGATGCTAAAGGCCTAAAGTTGAAGCCTAGGAGGCGACCGAGGGAAGTCCAGTGATCGAAAGAAGAGTCAAAATCTAGACGGGGAGGTGCAGCAGTCCAATAATTAAACAAATTTCTAAATTTTCATATATCAGATAGTTTTAAAAGTTTAGCTTACCATTTCTGTGTGCTCCAATATACATATGTTTGGAACATTACTCTTGGTAATAGGTATGTGAAAAATCCCTATGTAAATAACAGACCGTAAAGTTACTTTGTTCAAAATGATGTTCACTAATCTTGCTGTAAAGTTGGTGAACTTTACATCAACATCAAAACGTTAAGAGACCCACTAGACCTCAAATTTCTGTCCGGAAGAGGAACACATGAAATGAGACATATACAGATACTTACATATATGTTTTGGAATTCTTGTCTACTAATCTTCCCATCATGGTTCTCCTCGTATTGATCCATAAGCTGAAACAGAGACAATACCAGGCATTTAACCTACATAAAATTACGTTGTCTTTGCATTTCAAGTTTTAGTTATCCGAAAATATCATTACGAAATGGCTTAAATCGACACTAAATAAAACATTAAAAAAAACAAGAAAAAAAATTATCATATGTTGTTTGTTACGTCTGCGTATGTTCTTACGGGCAAAAGGCGATTGACGGCTGCCACAATCCGTTGCCGATCTCTGTGTTTCACACGCTGTTCTGTTCTTCGCATACTATAGAAATGCCATATTAATAATTTTACATCTGATATGTGAAAAATACATTGTTGTTTCCTGTTTTCAAGTATGATATCTGTTTACTGACATAGTAAAAACGCTATTGGTGGTTCCTGGAAATATTCATTTCTTCTATTAAAGGAAAGAGACTGTACAAAATTAAATTTGTAAAAATTAATTTAACTAACGCATATGTCGATGAGTAACACTATCATACAGCTATTTCGGCTTTCTACTGCAGGACCCATCACCGATGCGGGGGACCAACAGTGGGGACACTCAGGAGGAGAATTAGAAAAATAAAAATAGAACTGAATAAATGAAAAGATATAGGAGAAGGGATGAACTAATCTTTTTGCTGATAGAAGTACTTACACTATGTTTGATCATTTCATAAGATCACGAAGTTCAAGAATATATTCTAAATCGGTGTCAATATTAATAATAATAATTGACATGGCAGCCACTCATACAGTTAAACTGTCAGGAAAATACCAGATGTCTATACAAAAGATATTTATTGCAAGTTATAAGATATGTTTTGTTAGCTTCAAAATTGTGTTTTTCTTGATCGATCTTATTCGATTTAAACAGACATGATAGTTGTCTACAACATTCGTTACTAAAGTTATCAAATACCGTATGATGTTACATTGCTTTCCCTTGCGAATAGTTAGCATGAAGTTAAGGAGCATAAACAACGTTTATATTAATCACAAATACCTGCTAAGTCTAGAGCTGAATCTTGATTGTACTGGTGTTCGCTTCTCAAGATAATACCGGAAGCTGTCAGCTTCACCCTCGGAATACTGAAGAATCAAGTCAAATAACTTAGCATTAATCTACACGAATTTTAAATCCGAATGCGAATGGGTAGTTGCTTGTATTTCAAATATATTCCAGAATTTGGATTAGGAAATTTTATTTCCTGTTCAATGGAAACTGACAATTGATACTGATACTAAAATCAATTCATAATGCGGAAACATATTTTGCACGATCTGTTTGCTGTAATTAAATTATCACACATTTAAAAAAAAATAAATAATATAGCAAAAAGTCCTATTATTGTCATTTATCAGAGCTATAGCCCAGAACATAACACCAACCACAAGAAACCCTAGGGTTTTGTCTGACCGCTCTCCAAATCTGGATGCCTTACTAAGAATAGCAGGCAACTCATTGAGGTCACGCATTTTATGGACAAATGTATCTTCTGGCTTCATAGACAACCACCAGCCTATGGATACATAAATGTTAATTGAAGATTGTACAATGAAATGGGACATTATTCATCGTGTACTAACAATGATGCTTTCATTTCCGTTAAATTGACCATCACTTACAAAAACGAAGCCCGTTCGACTTATACATAATTTTCACATGTTAGTCTTATAATTGGGCTAATATGGACATGATTTGTGGCTCTTATCGGTTGGTTTTCGTTAAGGCAATTACAATGGCATTTCATTCTTTTATAATACATAGCTTTCAAACACACCTTGATGATTTGGGGATAACGTTGTACAGGACACGTAATTGAATATGAACAAAAGACAGATCTACACTCGTCACATAAGATCAGTTCCATATATCGTTACGTACCATCGAAGCAGTGAATCGGGTAGTTACACAGAATCCCTCCATCGATATACATGTTGGGTGGTAAGTGAGAATAAGGTGAATACTTCACCACTTGAAACATGCCTGTAACATGATTGAATTATCCGATAACGACAAATTGACTTAATTGTCAAAGTAATGACATATTATATATATTTATATTGACATTACCTAAATTAATATATTTGTTATATTAATTCGTGTTCCAAGCACTATATAAGGCTTTATGGCCAAAATCTTTCGTCCGCATTTCTTAAATGTGACAGTTAAGAAGATTATATCAGAATATGATAATATTTGTTAATAAACAAATTCTTTACTTAATTGATTGTGTACATGAATAAGTTTGTATTTGATTTCTTTGCTGAATTTTACACTTTGTAAAATACGAGTCGCTATCACTTTTCAGTTTAGGTATCATGTTGTTAAAATGAAACACGTCACATGCGAACATTTAAACTTGAATTTCAATGGCATCTTTAAGGTGTTGCTTTTTTGCACTGTGTTTCATATCAATTATATATATCAGTATATCTATAAACAAAAAATACTCTAAGGGGAATAAATATTTAGACAGATTACTGATCATATCAATATGGTGTACAAGTATATTCAGTCGGGCTCGATCATGGCACTGTATCAATCACATCATCAATTCCTTACCTGGAATAGACATGGACATGCGCACAGCCAGTCTAACAGGCATATCCGGTGTTGTTTTTGGGTGACAATACTCAGCAGCCATATTATTAACATTTGTAACCAGAATGCAAAGTTCTTTCCCACACATGTTGTAAAGCTATTGGAGATAAAAACAAATAGTCTAATGACCGAACTTTCATTCCTGTTGAAACAAACTTCAGGATTTATCACAGTCGTAATATTGAGTAATGGGAAATATATCAAACAAAGTGATAGTGATCCAGTAAACAAACCATTATCAATAGAAGCTAAATTTGTTGAATACCTGGCGGTCAAAACGCTGCAATTTGAAGAGAATCACTTCTTTTGACAAGAACTCTTTTTTGTAGTGATAAAATATCTCACATAGGAACAATACCTGCTCGAAAGTTATATCAGCACTGCCTGTTTTGTTCCGGAGCTTTTCACCGAGCCAATCGTTCACATGTGTTGCTGGACTTAATCCATAGCCGAACATGAATCTCGGTAAGAAAGTCAATATTCTCCAAGCACGTGAGCCATCTGAAGAGGGATATTGACTTTTAAAAATTACATGATGAACACATCATAAGCAGAATGTTTAATTTAGTTTGAACAAAATTATTTCCAAAATTTAAACATTACAAATACAATTACAGAATATGACAAGAGGATGAAAACAATCCACAACCTTATATTAATTCCTCTCTTCCCATAAAGTAAATGTATCTTTTTCATAAAATAACACGTAAATAACAATACTGGGTACATGGTCAGTAAATCAAACCTAGAATTAATGGTGTACATGGTTAACGCTCATCAATTCTTTATTTGGTTTATAGCCAGTATCAACGGAGATAAGGTGTAAACATGTGAACTTGAGATATAAGAAATTTGCAGCAAATGGCTCTAAAATTGGTCGCATTCAAGGTCACTTCATTCTACAATAACATCTTGTAGATTTGATGTCATGACAACCAATAACATACACTGAAACATTTATTAGTTGTATACCGTGTTAGAAAGGATATGAATCCGTCATTCAATAAACTTATGTAAAGGTACGTTAAACGATTTTACTTTCCAAATTCGAAATGTGTCATTTCCTCTGGTGTTTATTCAAGATAGTGTGAATTGGGCTGTTTCGACCACCGATAAGTATAAACTGTTAATAAGACTTTCAAATAGAAAATATTCAGAAAAATACACAGCAAACCAAACTCAATATGAATTGACTGCTTTGTCTATAGTCTATATTGTCTACCCATCTACTCAAGGTATGTGCATGTGTTGAGTATGTTTGTTGGAGGTTGCGATATGTAAGTGTAATCCTTTTTGTGATACAGTGCCGAACTAAGACCGCCTGTATAGTGCTGCCACACTGAAGTATACTGTCGTAGGCCCTCAACAGGACACCTTACATGGCTATTTTATACAGATAACAGGTAGGTCCGTCGTTATATAACTGGAATGCTGAGCGTTACGCATGGAGTAATAATCACCCGTTTTTAGACTCGGGTATGTCTCGGCCAGGTCACAGAACCTTAAGCCCTCACGGGAGATCAATCATATACAATATGAGAATAGTATACTTTAATTGAACGCCGTTATATGTTTCTATTGATGTAAGCTATGACGTCTTTACTTATAAAAAACAAGAACACTCAAAATATCTTAATTAATTTCATTTCAAATCATTAATACCAACCTAACATGAAATTCTTGGACATGTCATTCTTCATGAATTTCTCGACATCATGTGAAGTGTAACCAACTGTCAGCAAGGCTGCCATGATTGCCCCGGCACTTGTTCCAGCGAATCGCTTTATTTGTGGAAACAAACCGATGTCTTCGAGGGCCTGTAAAGCGGAGTTTATTACACCAATACAATCGAACAATAAATTTTGTGTCGTAAATTGAAATGTTATTTACATTCATACAAAATTGATAGTTTTATTATACCTCCAAAATGCTTCAAAATGAAACAATCTCTCTTTTTGTTCAATGTTCTTGACTACTACAAATTTTCTCAATGTCCTTTCAATAAAGTATTGATGTCCCTGATTTTTTTTATTAATACCCCTTGATTAAATCGTTCGTTTCTATATACTTAAACTCGTCGTCACGTGGCTAAAGACATTTTACGTGTATAAGTGTGTGTTTTCCGACATCAATATCCAGGTCTGCTGATACACAGTCAATCTCTGGTTCAGACTCAAACAATCGTAAAATTGTCATTATATCACATTGTAGGAATATATATCCATATATTCAAACAAAATTTATAATCTTCACTATTTTAAAATATAGTAAGGAACAGTTTACTGGAATCGATTGTGTATCAACTGAATTGAGATGATATAGAACAATGAGCACTCTAGATCATGATATTTATGTTGAATTCCGAACTCTCTAAATTTATTTTTGAAGCTGATAAGCAAATCAACGACACTAACTTCAATCAAGAAATAAGCCAGATGTTCCGAATACATATATCGAACGATCAACTTGCATGGCCAGAAGAAAATGCAACGCTACTCCTTTATATTTTTCTACGCTATGTAGCGAACTTGTTTGTTATTATATATTGTATAACATCACAATATGTATTGTGATACAAGACACAAAGTCATGGATTTATTGTCGTTTTGATATAGAGTGACGTGCCTACGTACGTGTAGTTATATATTAAACCTCAATCCACTTACACGAATGGCTCCACAATAGGCCATCCCCTTGCTGCCTCCTCCCTCCAACACAATGTTTTCGAACGGGAATTCATGTTCGGCTGGATTGATTTGTCTAGCACGTAATTCTGATTCCGTAAGTGGCGTTGACGGCTCCACGTATACTGTCAATAAAAATGACCGATTGTGTGCTTTAATTTTTTAACGTGTATTTAGTAAATAATTCATATATAAACAGAAAGTTAACTTATTGGTGTCTGTAAAAATCAAAGTGAAAAAGTTTGGGGATTTTTTTCTATCTCATTATCAATTTTAATAATACTTTCGAAAAATATTTAAGCAACTGACCTACATATCGTTATGATGAAAATGACCTATACATTGTACTTATTGATATTTCTTTTGGGATGAAATTAAATCAGACATTTCTGTTGAACAAAGTGCCAATCATTTATAAACCATAGCTACATTCATCAAAGTCCGCCTCTTTCTCGACTACGTGATGGCTGGCTCTATTTCCCATTTTCAGAACTTCTACAAAACAGAAAACACATTGAATCACTCAGTGGTATGATTATGTTATTTTGAGATTTTACGGTTCTGTATATCACTTGTAATTACAATACAATAATCGGTCGTACCTTTTTTACACGAGTAAATGTTGAAGAATCTTTTGATGCAGTTCGAAAGTCTGTAATGAGGCATTCTTTCCGTAAGTCTGTAAGCATGCAAAAGCATACTATAGCTTTCCTGTTACACTAAATATTTAATCATTTTGACAGCATTCTAAGTAGAGTAACATTACCGAGAATGTAATTGGGAGTGTAGTGAAAACCGTTACCGAGAATACTAATCTATACTTGAAATACTTATACTTACATACAACGATCAAACTTGTTTTTACATTGCATTTGTCGTTGTTCTCTCATAAGATACAAATCTACCTTATTTGTAAAGTTGTTTTAGAACATTTTATACAAACATCATCCCAAGGATCATCCATAACGCAGGAAATTATATACTAAAAGGATAAAGAAACGCAGGGTGAACTTTAAACCAGAAATTAAGTATGATATCGGGCTTCATTTAAAACGAAATTTTGTATACTTACAGATAAATTAAAAATTTCCAAAGTCTGTATTTTGCATCTGACAATTGGTTTAGAGGTACTAACGATTAAATTGAATGGACCCATAGGATTTTGAAATTGAAATTGAACTGAGTCATCAATATCTTGTGTGTCCGCCGTTTGCTGTGGTCACGGCCCTTATTCTTCTGGTCATAGAGTTCATGAGAGCGTTAATCCGTCTTATGGGGATGTTGACCCACTCTTCAATCAGAGCTCTGGTCAACTGCTCTCGAGTAGCAGGGGGTGGCTGGCGCTTTAGAACCTGTCTATCCAACTGGTCCCAAAGATGCTCGATTGGGGAAAAATCAGGGCTATATGGCGGCCAATCTAGTGGTTGAATATTGTTGTTGTTGGCCAGAAAGACTTGGCAAATCCTTGCTACGTGGGGCCTAGCATTATCCTGCTGGAGGGTTAGATTATGCTGCAGTAAGAAAGGGATAACATGGGGTCGGAGGATCTCATCTCTATACTTAGCTGCTGTTAAATTGCCATCAATAGCAACCAATTGTGATTTTAACCAAAGTGAGATTCCTCCCCACACCATTACTGAACCGCCCCCGAACCTATCCCTCTCTACAACGCAAGCGTCCGTAAAACGTTCGCCACGACGTCGGTAGACACGTTGACTGCCGTCAGATCGATAAAGACAGAATCGACTCGTCCGTGAAAAAAACTTGTCTCCACTGCCTCAGTGGAAACCGTCATGGAGCATGTGCAACGACCCAGGCCATACAACGCTGACGTCGAGCAGGGGTAAGGTGTGGACCTGTGTGGGGCGACGTGCTGTTACACCAACTTCTCGTAATCGATTCCTTACAGTTTTTGAACTTATAGGACGCCCATGATTTCCGCGAACATTAAGTGCACTCTCAACGGCAGTAAGGCGCCGATTACGCACATGAGAGACGACGATATAGCGATCCTGACGTCGTGACGTTACGCGCGGACGTCCTGACCTAGGTCGATCGGCCAATCGCCCAGTTTCCCGAAGACGTCTTACAAGACGTTCTATGGTGGAAACATTAACACCAAAGTGCCTAGCAACCTGATTTTGCAGCTGTCCTTGCATCAGCATCTGAATGGCCTGACCCCTCTGAACTTCTGTGAGTCATGCCATTCTTAAAACGAATCAAATTCTCTATTAATTTTAGGGAAGCAGTTGGTCTGTATAAAGACTAACGAAGATTGACTTGACCAACGCTGCATGAGACCAGAACAACACGTTGCATGAGATTCTTGTTTTTTCCTTCCTCCATTTACCAGAGCTGCGCACTGTATCGTGACTAAATTTTCGATACATGACAAGGTGTAATATGTCCTAATTACTCAATCCACAAAGTTTCACTTTATTTGGAGAACGCGTTTTCAAAATATCGGAATAAATATTACCCTGCGTTTCTTTATCCTTTCAGTATATATAGCTTGTAAGCCAATAAGAGAAGTTGTCATATTTCATGTATGAACACATTCATTTGATTTGTATTTTCCCCTTCAATACAAGATGTAGCTGGTCAAATATTTTAGTTGTTTATCACATTTGATTTATTGATATACAAACTTAAATTTGAAAGATTGTAGGATATAGCTTCAAAAATGAGATTTTGAAAAAATTAATGTTATTTGATATAGAGTGGTTCAACTTCATGTCTATCATATCGCTATGGAATACATATTTGTTTTGTTTTTTTAAGTTTTCTATTGTTTGACACATTGCTTTGATGTTTTGGTATCGTTACAAAACCCAGGTTGACATTATGGATACAAAGATTTCTTGTATATGAAATATTTTACTGGTTTTTTTTTACAACTTTGCGTTTCAAAGATGAAAGGTGAAAACGAATATTTTAGTTCCTGTATAACGGCACGGTAATATCATTGTAACAAGAAAATCAACATGTAGACTCGCAACGTACCTATCTTCGATTCAGAATGAGTATCTGACAGAACATTAAATATAGAATGACAACAGCCACTGCATTCAAAATTAGAACTTTGGCTGACCGTCCACGCTCTGTTGTTCATAAACCCAAAACTGGTTAATATGATACATGCCACTGAAACCCTCTGACCTGTCAACTTTAGACTGTGGGTCTGCATCTAGATCATTTAATCAGAATCAGTTGCATGTTCAGTTGTCACGTGTCACCCAGTTTATCTACACTATATGTTATTTATTTATTTATCATTCTGAATTCAGCAGGTATTATGATATGTGAACTTAAGACACTATCTAGTACCAAAAGTGTTCTTGGTGTATTTACTACATATACGTGAGTTAACTTGAAAAAAAGATTCGATATTAACGCCAATGTCTCCTAACGTTGTCTCCTTTACTAGTTTATGCATGTTTTTACATTGCATCACTATTAATTTCTTAAAACTGTTACCTTAGTGCTGTCACATAACCGTTAACACCCAAAACGTCATCCTAAATATAACGTTTACTATTACCATCTAAGAATGAAAACTATATATGCAAGTTATCCTGTAAAAAGCAGTTCCTGTTCTACAAGTGTCACGAACCAATGTTTACGAAATACTTTGGCTCACCTCAATTTATTATAAAAATATATCCAAATGAATTACTTTGACGATGAAATATGCAAAATCTCATTTTTGTGTGTATTAACCGATAGTAATTTTGTGTAATATTGTGTTTAGCATGGTACTGTTCGGTCAAGATATCGATTGGTATTATCGGTTCGGAGGAAGTACAAGTCTAAATAATATGTTTGTTGTGGGTGGTTTTCGGGGTGCTTGTGTAAGTCGGTGCTTTTTTCCTCTACTTATTTTGACATTGAAGTTATCCCCATTACTTTATTTCTTGATTCTTTGTACAAGTGTTTTATTTCACTGGTACTGTTCATCTCTGAATATTGTTCTTGTGCTCTTTTCACATAAATATTAAAAGGATGAACTTTTCCGTAGACCATAATCTAGCATGTAGAACATACCAGTTCTTAACCAATAAATGTACTTATAAACTATTCATTGACCTAATGTAGTGTACCAGGTCCTCAGTCGTTATGAAACACATCTTAAATCTTAATGAAACATGTTAGGTTAATATAAAATGTAGAACATGGATCTCAGCCTCGTCTGTGGTTGATATTATGTTAAACTTTTGATTTGGTAATATTGTTTTTCGACTGGGCAAGTATAATGTTGTAGGACAGTAAAAATTTGTAGCATGGTTATAATCAACGTTAAAGAGGAGCTCCTTCTAGTATGAATCCATTCCTAGCATCTGTATGAATTTTTTGGTGAGTTAAATTTAATCATTTTTCTTGTATTTGAACATGAACAACATGCTCCTCTGGCTATGTATTACTTTATTTCAACCATTGTAAGTTACATTAATCTCCTCTTATCATACTTCAGATACTTATATGTATAGTATAACTGTACTCTGATTGTAGAAGTATGACTAGATTATAATGGTAAAACTGTTTCACATGTCCTAATTTTGTTTCATATGAAACCAAACACTGTCTTACGGAATGCAGCTTGCCGTGTACACATTTAAATTGTAACTTTGGTAAAATATAAAGATAATCAATTCATAACTAACTCTACATTACTGTAAATTGTCCTTTATAAAAGTTTGAGGTAATAAAGATGGAAATTGAACATGTTGTTGAAAATAATGAGCTGAGCTAGAATATCCTTTTCTGCACTGTGCAATAAAGATAACAAGTGATGTAGATAGCAATAAACTGTTGTAAAGTCATTGAATATCAGCATCTAAGACTCGATTACAGTACATTGGTGTTTACGCTAGCAGTAGGTCTCCTTATGGATACTATCATGGTCAGTTCTCTCTCTCTTAAACCGTATACTTTAGCTAGCTTCCGTTTCTGTCTCTATCCTCTACAGCATTTCTCTATTACTTTTGTTTAGTGGAAGGCAAATCTAGTCAGTTAAACGTTAAGTATAGGTGAAGGGATAAGGTTCTTATCAGCCAATTGTCAGGATTTAGGTGACAAAATGCAACGTAGAGATGTATTTGCATATCTAAGAAGTCAAAAATTTTTAACCTTTTTTGTCTCCGAGACACGCATTTTACAGATAATAATGAGGATTTAATAAGAAATGAATGGGGCTATTTCTGCCTTTTTAGTTCTTTTAAATCAAATGCTAGGGATGTTGCTATTCTATTAAACAAGAATTCTGAAGTAAAAGTAATTAAAGAGAAAAGTGATAAGTCTGGGAATTTCTTAGCACTAACTTGGAAATTGAGGGTACTAATTTGACAGTAATGTCTATTTATGGTTTAAATAACGATGAACCTTCCTTTTTTGGTTGATAGAAGAAACACTGTATGAGTTTAAGACCGATAAGTGTATATTATGTGGAGACTTTAACCTGATCCTGAATCCCGAACTAGATTATGACAAATTACACAAAAGGGTAAACAATCCAAAGTCCAGAGAAAAAAGTACTAGAGATCATGGAAAATTTTGATTTAATTGATGTCTTTAGAGAGCAGCATTCTGATTCCAGAAGGTATACATGGAGGAGGAGCAACTCTGTTTAACAGGCTCGTTTAGATTTTTTTCTTGGTATTTGGTAGCCTCCTAACTAGTACA